GTCGCTGGCCTCCTGCCTCTCGCGGCCCTGCACGGCCACGGGGCTGGAAGCCAGAGCTGCGCAACCCGCTCTCTTCGCCCCTCCGGCCGCCGCGCAGGCCTGACGGTGCGGAGCATGAAGCTGACCAAAGCCCAGTACGATGAAATAGCCCAGTTCCTGGGGCACGTGCAGCCCACCCGGCAGAGCCTGAGGAAGCTGAAGGAGAAGTTCCCCAGGTAAGTGCTTCCTGCCCTCCGGGGCCGCTGCCCGGCGCGGGGCCGGTGGCTCGGGAGCCGGACAGCGGCCTGCGACCTCGCTGCGGGCGGGCGAGGGGCTGCAGAGGGGCCGGTTCGCCAGCTCCTGCTGGGACCCCCCCAGTTCCACGTCCCACACGGTACAAAGTCACTTGCACACACGCATGGCCATCGACGACAGGCAACAGGCCGCTGCAGGTACTGCTAGGAGCAGGGTACCTCTCGCTCTCTGTGACCTAAGAAGTTGGCACAAAATAAAGAGCGCTTCCTCCCCTTTCCCCCTTCGGCTGCCACACGTACAAATAAATGCCCTTGCATCACTTACGAGGCTTTTTAACGCCAAGTACATCTTAAATGAATGATGCCTTAAGGCTCAGACCAGCATTCTATAGCTGTGAACAAGGGTGGAATCCAGCCTATACCACTGCCCCTCTGGCTTAAGGAAGAGGGGCTTTCTTAACTCCTAGTGTTGCTCTCCAGTTGAAGACTGGAAAAAGGACCATCTATTTATATGTGAGCATTCATCTGCTTCCTCACCTGAGTTGCATTTCCAGAGTTGCCAAAGACATTTGCAAATGACCATAGGCTGGCATTGAAAGGTGCACATGACAGCATGCTTCCATCCACTGCTCTTCATTGCCAAAAGTTGCTTATTGTCAACCACAACAGAGTTGTAAAGGACATGTTGAAAGCTTTTTATCATTTTTCAGATCACATTCTGTGGGGAAAGGAGTGGTACTGTGTCTAAAATGCAGCAGAAAACTGCAGTGTTTTAAGTTCTGTGCTTACTTTGAGAGAGAGAAATAGGTAACACATAATCATTCCCATGCTTCCTGAGTGAGCCTTGCTGGTCTTACCACAAGCGTGGCTGAGGAAACTGAAGCTGTATATAAACTTACAGTAAGTGGATGAAGAGCCAACATTCACTTAGTCTTTTAAATCGCCCTGTAAAATCTTTTCCTTTTCAGGAATGCGTGTAATGTAGTTAAAATCAAGCTGAGGGAATACCCCAGTTGTAAAGAAGTAGTGATGATAATGCAATGTAGTTTTTTCAGTTAGTGCATTGAGTTGCATTGTTAGGAACCCAGCTCACCTTGCACTTCTGCAACTTGGGAAACCACTTGCTGTGACAGCCTAAGTCAAAGGAGGTTAGACTTGACTTTATTCATCATGTCAGTGCCAATGAAATCGGAGTGTTTGCATGTGTGTATGTGTGCATACACATGCACTTCTGTTCTTTTTTAGTCTCCTTATAAAGCTGTCTTGAGAAAAGGTTAGAATTTGGGTTGTTTTGCCAGGTCAGTCACTGTGCGTAGGAACTTCCAAGACAGATCCACAGACATGTGAGTGTCTGTAATAGTAAAGATAAGTTTGTCAGAAAGCTACCAGGCCTTCCTGCTGGTACACTTTGCTTCCCTTGATGGTGGAAAAGATCCATTGACTCCTCAGTTTCAGAACTTGATGACTCCTGAAAAACTATACGCTAACAACAATGTAGAGTTATATCAGGAAAAAATGGCGTTTTTTCTAAAGACACTGCTCGGGTGTGGCAAATGCTGAAAAGCAGGGTGTAGCCCTAGGAGTTACTTCTTATTATTTGTTGCCTGAACGTGCTGTTACGTTGATCTCTGTATTATGATATGAGAGTGGCCTCTTTTGATTCTTCTTTAGGCCTCTCCTGAATTTTGTTTGTCCATCCTGGGAGAAGACTAAAATCTTGTATTTGAATGATGAATAAATTGATACCTTTTTTCAAAAATGTCTGTCTTAAGTATATTTTGAGGAGTTCTGTGTTTCTTCTTTCTGTGAGTGGCTCAACAGGTGATTTTTCTGTGTTGTCTTTTTGTTTATTTCTCGTAGCAGGGCAGATGCAGAAGACGCTTAGAGAAAAAATTTGAAGTATCATAGTATGGCTAATTATTTTGAGATGCAGTTTTTAAAAATGTATTCCAAAGCCCCTGCGTACCATAGCAGGAAGAGTTATGTTTTAAAATAGATACATGTTACAACATGGAAACCAAGCAGTCTAACTTTTGTCTTGTAAAAAAGGTCAGCTGCAAACATTGGTAAGCTTGAGTGCCAAGTTAGGTGCTAAAGGGGAGGCTTGTTCAGTGATGTGTTTTATAAGTGTGGAGTAAGTTTCTTATAGTCTAGAACCTGTGTCATTCTCTTCTACGATGAGAAGGATCTGATTTGACTTCTTGGCTGATTTTTTTCATTATGAAAACCAAAACTAAACAAACAAACGCTCCACCCACCCCAACTTTCTAAATCAATCTTTTTAAGAAAATATTCCAGAATCTGTCATGGGACTTGCAATGGGATGAAAGGGTCCATAACTGATTAGTCATTTTATGGTAGCGGTTGCTGATTCAAAGTAGAAAGTACTAATATCCAAGAGCTGCCATTCCCCTTGCACATTCAGGCTTTCACTGGAAAGTAACAGTATTCCACTGGTAAAGAAATACATAAATTGACCATTGTAAAGTATTTCTGGTTCCTGTTGTCTCATAGATCTTGCAAGTCTTTGGATTTCTGCATTAATCCGCTCGGGTTTTTTTCTAATACAGTCTTATCTATTGGTTTCTCCCTTATCTTTTGTGTTTCTTGCAGATTCACAGGTTTTGCTCCTTATTTGTATAAAGTATCTTTCACACTGTGTTACTGGCCTGCTATTGTTCTGCAATTTCTCCCTAAGAGGAATTTCCATAAAACTTTTGCCACAGTTTAGTGTGTGTAGGTATGCTAACATCACCTGTGATAACTGAGTAGTTTGTTCTTTACCATTATTGAACTACTTAAGCAGGAGTGATAACTGATTCAAAGGGTATTTCCATGTCATTAATTATTGTGAAATAGTCAAAATTTGACTGCTTCTAATACTGTTTGTAAGTAAGAGACTGTTTGTAAGCATTGAGACTTTGTATAATTTGTTTACAGTCCTGCAGCATTACAGACAACAAAGATTTTGTCTGCTTTGCTTAAAATCCAGTCATTTTGCAAAATCAGAAACTTGGGAATCAAATTGCTGTTCTTTTTCTGTTAGTGCTGCACTTTGTAATCCATGCCTGGCATTTACCAATTATTTATTTGGGTTTTTTATTCATTCATTCTGTTTTGTTCTTCTAATGTGTTCATGTTCAACAGCAGGATTTTTGGATGACCTGAGGATTATAAAAATGTAATTTTGAGCACTAAGCATGATAAATCTCTGTCAGAATTGGATCACTGATACTTATCTCCTTTGAGCTTCTTAAAATATATACCAGTCGACTGATTTCTGGGTTGTGTTCATCTAATGTGTTCTACTTTGTGTTTTGCTTTGTTTCCCACCTGAATTTATCTACTCGCTAATAATTTGTACTTTTGTTTGTAACTTCTGTATTTGATGGGCTCCTGCTCTTCTGTGATATTCTTCTTTTCAATGGCACCTAATGTCTAAATTATATTACCCATTGTAGGGCTAGTTATAGGAAATGTAGGGCTTTGCAGGAAATGCTCTGAGAAAGTTAAAATCTCTTTACTTTCAGTGCTTGTTTCTTAAATAATAGGTAGAGCTACCTAGAAGTAGAATCTTCTCAATAAGAATCACCTTGGGGTTACCGGTTTATGGCGCAAAGATGTAGATTAGACCTTTAAACTTTTAACTGTACTCAAAGACTATTTCAACTTGTCCAGAAAGGTCCAGCTTCTAAGAGTTTGATTCATACCCAAGTTGATATTTTAGTACTTCAGTTTAGTTGTTTCCAGGAAAACAAAAGATGAAACAAAAACCTCAGTTCTTCTGTATATGGCAGAATACATAGTTTCTTTTCAGACATTTTTCCTGAAGCTTCCTACCCCTAGAATGTAATTGACCAACGTCTGGACTCTTCTCACATCTATACCTTGTAGATATTTTGTTGTTACTCTTTATGTCCAATTTTGCTTGAATATTACAGTTTCCTTGATTGAGTCTTCCTCTGGTCTATACCAAGCTTTCTAAGTGTGGAAGGACTGATGACCCAGTTCGTTATGGTAGTGTCTTGGTTTTTATTCTGCAAAGTTTTCCCTGGTTTGTTTCTGTTCAGAGTCCTTGAGTGTCTTATGTTACATTGGGATTCCAGAAACTTGGCTTGCAAGTTGGCTCAGTAGCCTTAGATCTTTTAAACATTCCAAAACCCATGCTTTTAAAGTGCTTACATTGAACTGTTGTGAAACATATTTCATTCCATCTAGGAGTGCTATATTCTTCCACAGCACAATTAGTACAGTCTGTATTGTTTCTCTTCCTTACTTAGTACCTACGTCTAGCTCAACTTTCCTTTCAGTACCTTCACTTTCGTTCCTATAAAAGAAGCATCTGAGCGCAAACTGTGTTTATAGAGAATTTCAGAGTATTAGAATTTATAGCAGTTGCTCTGTGCTGGTCTTCACTTTTCTTCCTTGCATCTATTTCCATTTCTGTGTTTTGGTACCTGCTGCTAATGGAGCCTGGAAACTAGTCAGGGTGGAAGGAGAATTCTCTGTCCTCCACTCCAGTGCTTCTTGGAGTTGCTGTTACCCGGGAAGGAGGAACAGTGAAGCTGAAGAGCAGAGAGGGCAGCTAGCTGTCTATGTGGATTTCAGAGCTATAGGCTCAGGACTCAAGCACAGGTATATTAGATGGGGAAATCTTTTTTATGAGCAGGCAACCTACTGTTGTGTAACACTTCAGCTACACTCTCTTCTGCCTGGAAAGGCTTATTACAGCAAAACTCAAAATTCTTGTAGCTTCTTCTGCCCTTCTGAATAGTTGGTTAATTATTTTGGAAAACAGAGGAACTAGGCTGTTTTTCTTAATTCTGGAAATATTAAACTAGAAAATAATATTTAGAAATTTGTCTTTGTACCTATAAGTGCCACAAACTTCTTTCTTCTACCAAAAAAAAAAAAAGTATAAAGGAACATTTTAAATTCCCTCTGCTTTTCTGTATTCTCACTACTTAACAATGAAATAAATT